GGGGATCTTTTAGAAGATTCCATTGGAGATGCTCTTAGGCAGCAAACAATATTAACGATTTTTAGGGCACCTCTAATAAGAAAGAGTTGGTGGTGTTTTGGTTCGTCATGAAAAGTTTCAGCTAAAGGTTCAGTGTTCCATGCCGTATCTTGTCATTTTTGAGATATTTTTTTGGAAAACCAATTTTAGTGGGCCAAATTTTTTTTTTGTTTGCTTTAACCTCATAGACCTCACGGGCCGGCCCTGCTCAGAATCAATGCTACATTCAACAAAATCTAGATTTCATGTCAAATAATGATGTCTTAGTGAGCCACCACAAAATCAGTGGTTTATTACGGCCATGTTTCCAGTATAAATATTAGTGAGCCACCACTCATTCCATTTTGTTTCATCTACGTATACGGAAACACAACGATACATATTTGCTAAAAACTTGTCGAACGAAATGTCTTTTTAACAGAAATATATTTAAAAAAAAAAAAGAATTTAACGGACGATACTTTATTAATGTTTGGACCGTATATAAGGTAATAAATTGTTCAAAACACACACAAATATGCTCATATAGTCTCGCTAGAACTGAAAAATGATTATTAGTACTATTATCGTACGTGAAATTTCGATACGTATTTATACTCAACAAACACAAAGGCAGATATGATATATAGTATTTAGTGGTTCAGAAAGTTCTCGAGGCAATGTTCTTGGTCCAGATTCCTACTCCAAAACTTTTTGTAGTACTCTGCGTAAGTGAAATCCCTATACATTGGCTTCGACTCATCGTCCTCGGCTTCCCACAAGGGCTTGGCCGGGCTCATAATAGCACAATCAGCTGGGCACAAAAACGACGCAATGGATAGTCTTGGGTTTTCGGTGTTTGTTACAGCTCGATGCCAAACACTTTTGTATACTCCATTACTCAATGCCTGAAAAAATATTTAAACTCATTTCAAAAAAGTTACATTTAAAAAAGCCGGTCCAACATTTTCAGATGCGCCGGACATCTAAACCTCTAAATGTTGGCGTTAAGAAATCTAAACCTCGAAGCTTTCGTTTTACCTATGCTTTAGACCGGACTTGTATTTATAAGATCATTGTTTCTAGACCAACACTAGAATCTTTCGATAGATCTTGTTCTTTGATTAGTATAGTTACCTGTAATTGGTCACCAAGGTTGATGACAAACGCATCAGGATGTGGATTAATAGCGAACCAGTGACCATCGATCAAGATCTGGAGTCCGCAAACCGTAGTGTCTTGGAGGAGTATGGTGAGGGCGTTTGGGTCGGTATGAGCAGGTAAACCGTAAGTGAGTTCAGGTTCAGGACATGGAGGATAATAGTTGACTGCCATGTGTTGACCTTGTTCACCAAGAACTTTCTTTAGGTAATCTTTTTCTAAACCTAAGCTCTCTGATATCAGTTCCTCTATTCTAAATCCCACTTCTCTTACTTCTATACTGTATTTACTCACAACTTCCCTGAAGAAAAAATATAAACACAAAGTTAACTACATTCAAATCGTTAAATGGTCATTATGCATCTGACATAGAACTATAGGGGTACGTAGATTTATTAACATGATACTTATCAATCATTGTATTCGTCGGAACATATATAATTCTTTGGTTCTAACATAGTTTAACAATTTGTTAATTAAACCGGTCCTCTCTCAGATTTGGAAGGGCCATTTTAAATAATAACATAAGGCAAATTGAAATATTGCAAAAATAAAGGAAAGAGGAAGCTTTCTTTTTGGTATTTTTTAACGTATTACTTTTT